TTCCATAAGAATAAAAGTAGAAAACATACAACGCAGAAGATGTTAAATGATGAAATAGAGTATTATGCAGATAGAAAAATGATGCGAAAATAATCAGAATAAATTATGTTTAATCATTTAAAAAGATATGTGAAAACGTGCAAAAAAAAAATTTCATATTTATTATGAACTTTTCATTCTGCCTGACAAGAAGCTTAACTTAAGTGCAAAATAAACAAAAAGAAAAAAGAGATACAAACATGAAGAAAGAAAGAAAAGAGATTTCAATTCACGCTCAAGAATATTGTCTTTGAAATGTCTTTTCTTTTTTCTCGCCTTCATAGCCGATTATCTTGAACATGAGTATAGCACGTGATGCAGATTAAATTAGACAATATCTTTTTTCTTTTAGATCATTCTGTTATATTTTCACAATATCATTCAATAGAAAATTTTTTTCTTTTTGTTAAAACAAAATTTAAAATATATAAACATCAATTCAATCATCTCATTGCTATTTTCAATTTTCTGTAGATATCTATCAATCCAAAAAATAATACTATTAACATTGATGAATAGAGAATTTTGTATTTTTCATTTCTACGATCTTTTCAAGTTTTCTGACACAACCGCATTCATAAGAAAAAAGAACGTTTAGAACTAAAACTTATTGATGTTTTTTCTATATAGGTCAAGGAGACATGTTCTTTACAAAGCAGGACTTATTGTATGCAGTACTCATTCTCATGTTGTCAGATATGGAATTTAATTCTAAATAAACTATTGTGACTGTTAAGTTGAAGGTTACAAACAATTAGATTCTATCTAAATATAACAAAAAAAAAAGAAGAAAAGAAAAGAAACAATCATGCAATCTTGTCAGACAAGAATTTTTTCCTCTCATAATTATTCTCGCAAATATTATCAAAAAAATGCAGAATTTTATGGCATTACTTACCATTTCAAAAAAAAAAACTGAATTACATCATTTTTTTTTTTTTTGAGTGTTACAATTGGACGATTAAGTGTTCAATATTTCAAGTTTTGCTATAAGAAAACAAAAATTTAATTGAAAAATAAATACAATAGTTTTGTAGAGTAAAAAAATTCTCTATTGAATGACTTTTTGAAAGTATATTTGGGTGTTTTTAATCTGCGCTACCGGCGCCAAAGTAAAAGTATTTAGATAACTTTATACAGATGAGAAAAATTCCACATGAACATGATTCTAAATGGAAAAATAAGTCCGAGAACAACTGTTTTTTGTCATTATTATAGAAAACTCAATAAATGAAGATAAAATATCGAACACAAGAAATTTCTTTACTTGAACCATATATTTTATTAACAGTTGAATAACGGAATATAATCCTTGTTTTTCTTTTTCATTCTTCTATTTTATAATTAAATGTCCTTGAATTAAATCTGCTTTTTTTTCTCATCCGAGATAAAATCTATTGTTTGATATTTTATATAAGATATAAACATGTATTCTTATCAAAAAGGTAGAGAAAAAACAAATGTTTTATAAAATACGCACAAAATATTGACTTGGAATACTTAGTGTGAAATTGCCAAGAACGTAAGCACATTTTACGCGTTGGCATTATATCAAAAAAAAAAGATAAATAATAAGGGGAGATACCCATGAGAATGATTTGTCCTATGATTTCACATCGTTAACAAAGCATTTTTGCTGCTTATGTGTTAAAACACTTATAAATCTTCCTATTTTTATTGTCAACACGACACGTTTCGTGAGTTATGTAAGGGAATATTATTTAATCCATCGCTCTCATTGATAAAAAATCAATATTCCGAATGTTTTGTACTGGCTAAGAACATTTTAAGTGCATTCACATTCAAAAACAAAAAAGGATTTTCATCACATTCATATGTTCACTGTTTTTGTTCTACATTGCTGTAAAATCTTGTCTGTTTGAGACGTTGTAATTTTTGATATAATAATAACTCATTCGAGATAAAAAATATCTAGAATTTATTCATGTTAGTAGGTTTCAAACAAACAATACTTTTGATCATAGGACATGATCATAGTGATTATCGATAGAATAAAATTATTACCTTTACAAATTTTTTTTTTTTTTATTATTATTATAGATTCTAATCAAGGAAGAACAAACTGATTTCTAGTGACTTTTATTACTCGCAAACAATGGAAAATGATTACAAATGAAAGGAAATCGGGAGAAATCAAAACATAACTTTTAATCTTATTAGTAAAGATTTACTATGATTTCTAATGACTTCTGATAGTTTCCGATATTTTTTAACAACTTCCAGTCATTATTCATATCCTTAATGTGTTATAATGATTTCTGATGATTGTTAGCATAGAAGTCTGTTTTTTTCCCTGTTGATTCTAATTGAAAAGAACAATCTACATTAAATCGATCTATTTTTAATGAATCTGGAACGGACATTGAACTTCATTGAGGTCTAAAAATAGATTTTTTACGTCTATCAAAAATGTTCAAGATGTCTCATATCACTCGACTAATGTTCAAACAAATGTAATGATTCAGATAATTTTTTTTGTTGTCTTCGAGATCCGTTTATCAACAAGACTTGTTCTATTCTCCACAGAAAATCTAAAAAGTTTTTTCTTTTTCTTGAAAACTATGTATTTGTTAACAATGCACTGAAGTAAGTACCTAATATCTCAGATATTATCTTGTTGAGAATGTCAAATGTCCTACCGTTTCAAAAGAAATACACTTGAAATAATAATGTAAGTAGAAAAATAATTTCCATAGAATGTAGATTGTCAGTGAATTGAATCAAGTGTAATACAAGTCTCATGTTGTCAACATTGTTAAAGACAGACGCTCAATGTCATGTTTTTCTCCTACTGTGAAAAAAAAGAAGAAGAAGAAGAATCACTCCAGAAGTTAACACTGTTCCATCTTGAATATGTAAACATCCGGAAAGCCATAACATTGTTAATTAAGAAAAAAAAGGAAAATGAATTTGTAGGAGTTGATATGATGTCTAAAAGTTGAGTATTATTCTATAAGGATTTATTTTGTCTTTTAAATAAATATACTGTAGTGTAATTAGTATGTTTCTCAATCAATAGATTGTTTTTATCAAAAATGCAAAGAAGTCACTTTTTTTTTCTTTCTTTAGTTACATCTATTTTAGTTGAGAAGAAAAGAAAACGAAGAATTCTAAACAATTCGAATATTCCCAAAGCACAAATCAAAAACATTGTTTTCATTTTGTTATTCAAAAAAATTTAAAACAATATTCAATGATTTTCATTTTCTTACATTCAGTAAGCTCGATTCTTTGTGTTTTAGAAATACATGAATGATATTAAACAAGAAATTAATATTCATTGAAAAATACAAAAATATTACAATGAAAGACATTAATATTGTGTGTAGAAAGGAGTACGATAGCATTAGTATCTAATTAGAGATTTACACAATAGACATAGTAAATTAATTAAATAACAGTATGAGGAATATCTCGATATGATAAGATGATTCCGGTCTCGATGAAACTGAGATCGATACCAAATTTTTTTTTGTCTAGCCTGTATCGGAATCAATTTTTTTATTTGGCCGAGACCGGAATCATAAGTGATTAGTTCCGCTCATCATTCGCTACTACAATTTTCATGGTAAAATGGATCTTGTCTTTTTTTATGTAAACAACAGGGTTGTCGAATACATAAACGTGTAGAATAGACGAAGTATTAGTAAAATAGAATTCAGTATTGAATTTCCAAGAAGGACGATATTATTAGAGGTCATATGAATCGTGCAAGATGTCTTGAGTTTATTGATATTGATAGAAAATCATATCGTATTTTATATGTATTACTAACGCGCACAATTTGACTCAAAAATTTTTTTCTGATCCAGATCGAGAACAAAAAATGATTAGTTCCATTCATCACAAGAAATATTTTATCATAGACTGATGTTTTCAATTATATTTATAATTTCATCTTTGTTCTTGTATGTTTCTAATATATTATAGATCATTGTTATATTTACTTTTCTTATATATGTTCTTTCTGTAGTCATTTTTAATAGTTATTTCTGTTTTGTTTTCTTTTAACGTTCTTTTGTTTTTTGTATCTCAAAAGTGATGATAATGATCTTTTCTGCAAATATTGTCGCGAATGAATGTATGGAATAAAATAAGATGGCAGTGATAAGCTAACTCGGAAAAAAATACGTTAAAATGTTTTTCTCCTTTTATTAACAAATGGCCTTGTATTTTTATTATGTGTGTCGTCAGCAGAATCCTTTCTATAACATCTTTTGATAATAACACTATTTTTTTGAGAACAATAAAATAAACGAACAAAAAACAGAACAATACACTTACAAGTAATGCCTTTAGTGCTAATGATGTGACTGTATTCAGCAAAAAAAGATCCAGAATTCTCGATTTATTGTAAAATTATACTACAATACATTATTATCATATTGGTATTGTTCTGTTGATCTTTGATTAGATCAATTGAAGATATGACTTTCTCAAATAGAAGTTTCGATAATGACAATACATCTGTGTGTCTTAAATATAACTTATTTGAATTGTTTGCTTTTTTTTTGGAAATGAATAATTTTATGCTACTTCGTGTAATCGTCTCATTCATATGCATTTTATTTCAACAGAAAACTCAATGTATTAGAAAAAAATTTATAAATTTTTTTTTATTTCTATTTTTTCAATAAAAGAAAAAAATTAATAATACTCTTCTTTTATGATATTTTTTCATTACATTCGTTTTATAGATGTTATTTTAATTTTTAGAAAAAGCATTGTCATCATTATAAACATTTTTTGATAATGAGTAATGGTATAGTGATTGTAGTTTATACTATTCAGTTTATTCTTTTAGTACGAATGTGTATGACAGCGTGTTTTGTCTGATGATTAATCATTGCAATCAATGGGAACATTATAAAAGAAGGATAAAATAGTAGGACTGATTATTCGATTTCTTCCTACTGAAAAAAATAATAACAACAAGCATTATGTCATCTACACAACAACAAATTATTGTAAAAGTTTATTATAATGATCTTTTTGAAAAACAACCTGAAATTCGTCGATTTTCTATAAGTTTTTGTTTTATTTATTCATTGATTTTTATGTTTATGTATAATATATATATAGCTCGATATTTCATCGAATAAAGATATCTATGAAACATTGGAAAAAAAAATTTCTGAATTAAATAATAATTATCTTCAAGATCAATTTACATTACAATATATAGATGAAGATAATGATCGTATTACATTTTCATCTAATGATGAATTACAATCAGCTTTAAAAAATTATTCTATCAATGGTCTTATCAAAATTTTTATCAAACCAAAATCTAAAATAAATGAACAGTTAAATCAAAATACAACAATTCATATTGGTATTATTTGTGATGGATGTCAAGGTCCTGTTATTGGTAATCGTTACAAGTAAATTTTAAGAATTCATATATTTTAGTTTTCTTTTTTAATGTGAAAACTTTTTTTTTTCTTTCTTTCAGATGTATGGAATGTATAGATTATGATCTTTGTCAAACATGTTCGAATAAAAATCTTCATTCTGAATATAATATGTTGAAATTAACACGAGTTTTTCAACATCATCGATGTAAATATGGACATCGTTTCTGGTATCATTTTATGCGACAATAAAATAGATCTTTTAATCTTTATATTCCATGAGATATAAATAATTTTCTTAATCATTTTAAAGGGAAAGAATTATTTGAATTAATTGAAAGTTATATACCAGAATATTTACGTACAGAAAAATTAAATGAAATATTAAATCAATTTAAAACTAGTGAACAAGCTGATAAATCTATTAATGAAACAATTCTACTTGAAAATATTGGTGAAATTCTTTCATCATTTGGTATTAATTGTGATTATTCTGTTAATAAACAAACTGATGAAGAATTAAAATCTCAAAAGAAAAATGAAGAATCAAGAACAACAATTAATACTAGTACAGAATCTAAACCAACTGTTCCATTTTTAAATAATTTATTTCAACAATTTCAAACAATATTTGCTCCAATATTTCAACATTTGACAACAACAAAAACTGTTTCGCCAGAAGAAGATCAACAAGCTCAAGATCAAAAAAAGATTGATGAATGTATTGAACGTATGACATCAATAGGTTTTGTCGATTCAAATGGTGTACTTACTGAATTGATTAAATCAAAAAAAGGTGATCCCGAGCAAGTACTCGATGTTATTAATCAACAAAATTATAAAAATGAAGCATTTTTATAACATAAAGTTTGTTTTTTTTTCTCCGAATGTAATTCTATTTAACTAAGAAAATAAATAATCTAGTTGAGAAAATTTTTGTAAACTTTACTCTTATGATGACAATCAATTGAAACGTATATACATTCTCGTCAGCGAATATAAAAATAACTTTAATATATTATAAAATTCCTGCATTCACTCATAGAGAGAGAGAGAGAGGAGACTCCAATCTGTTGTAATCTTAAGGCACAGTGATGTTTCCAGCATCTAGAACAGTCTCCTTTTCATTCACACCAACACACTCTGTATTCAATATTGTCTGTCACTCTAGTGTCTATTCTTTGAATTTATCGCTAAGAACATCACTCAAGCGGTCATCCGATAGGCATTTCGACGCATCTATTTGAGGCTGTCGTTGGCATCGAACTTTGAAACAGAATGCTGAAATTCTCATTTTCCGATAGGTGGAGAGCTCGATGATGGATCAATAAAACATGATGTTTTCGACCAGTCGAACAATTTTAACTGAGAGAATCAAAATAAAACGAATTCTTTTAATAGATGTCTCAGTCTCGAGTTGTCGAAACCTACCGATTAAATGTGGAGGAGAAGATTAGAGCATGAGTACTTATGATAAACAGTCAAATATAAATTCATCATTCCTAATAGTACTTTGAATTTTAACATTTACTTACAGTTTTCAAAAATTAGTAAATAAAAAGTTCAATCGGTAAAAAACACATTTTTCACCTGTCTAACTAACGAATTGACTTTTTTGTCAGTTTCAGATGTCATATAAGGAATCCACTTCAAACTGCTTTTATGCTTGGCTTGTTTCTACTGGAGTGCTCGAAACAGTTCTTCCGACATCTTTGTTTTGCTCGATTACTCGAAATCCGATGGCTAGCGAAGGGCTCGAAATCAAAACAGAACAGACAAAAATATATATATTTCGCATTATCGAACGTTCGTCGCATCCATTGTATGTTTTTTATTGTCTTTCCTTCTTCGTGAAATGATCAAACACAAAATTTAACTTGATTGATGATATGCTAAACTGAAAGACAATATATTTTGTCTTTAGAAATACCAAAGCACAAGCAGGATTAGGAACAATCATTTTCCTTATCCTTTTGAAACTATGAAAAACATCATAACTATCACAATGATGTCAAGAAGAAACACAAGCAACTACCACTCTAAATCCTTATAGTACATCCGCATCTGTATAGTATTATTCTACAGTAGCTTCTGTACAAGTAAATATGTTCAACGAACATCCCCGCCATAGACTCGACCACTCTTCCCATTCAATTTCGAAATGATCCTTTTGACTACTGTTGTCAATATGATATTTAACTATTATGATAAAAAACAAAAAAGAATAGTTTTCTCTCTTGTTAATCTTAATGGTAAATATCAACTATAAGCCATTGCTGTATGTGTGTTTTTTTTTGAAAAAAATATGTTAGGTTAGTCGTCAAAAAATTAAGTTGATGTAATTGCTTAGCGTTGACATTGAAGTAATAATGAAAAAACATTTTGTAGCAGCTGCTTTACTAGGATTTCTATTTCAATTTACTTATTTTCGTTCATCTACAGCGAAATCAGTTCTTATCAATGATCGATATCGAAATGAACGATCTCTCGATTCTACATTAGCTGGATCAGTTCGAATTGATGAAGCCATGGAACATCTCAATGAACTACAACGTATTGCTACAGCCGCCAATGGAACTCGTGCTGCTGGCACACCAGGCTTCAATCATACACTCGACTATTTAACAAACTATTTATCTGCTAATACTAATTTTAAAATTATCAAAAGCTTTTTTCATGCACGAGATCATACACTCAAACATGATCCTATTCTTCAATCATCAATTGGCGGAAATGTTACGAATCATACTTATTCAGAAGATCTTTCCCTGTCTGAATTCTTCAAAGTTCGATATTCAACATCAGTTAACTTTTCTAATTTTATTCCAATAACTGTCATTCCAAATGTTGGCTGCTCGGACGCCGATTGGATTTCAGCAAATCCACCGGCTTCAGGTCTTGTAGCTTTAGTTAAACGGGCCGGATGTAGTTTTATCGAACAAAGTATGCTTGCTACGAAGTTTAATGTAGCAGCTCTCCTCCTATACAATGATGGAACATCGGCCAATCGCATGTCACCAATGATTGTGAGATTGGGACAAAACAATACTATACCAGCATTCTCTCTTTCATTCAGTCTCGGAGAAAGGCTTGTTAATGCAGCTCAAAATCCATCGAACAAAGCCAGTGTTCGTATCGTTATTACGCTAATGAATGATAAACCGTTTCCAATCGGAAATATTTGTGCTGATACACCCACTGGTGATCCTACTCAGACAATTGTGATTGGTAGTCATAGTGACAGTGTGCATTCTGGACCTGGCATTAATGACAATGGTGAATTTGAAATATTGTATAGAAAAATTAGATATAGAGATTTTATTCTAGGTAGTGGTAGTGCAGCTAATCTTGCATGGGCTGTAGCTGTGGCACGTCTCTTTCAAACAACGACTTATACCAAATATAAGTATCGTTTACGATTTTGTTGGTGGGGTGCTGAAGAAATTGGACTTCTTGGTTCATATTTTCATGTTGCACAAGCCCAAAATTCGACCGTTGTTGGTGAACGCCTCACTGACTATGTGACATATCTCAATTTTGACATGCTTGGTTCACCTAATTTCATGTTCGGTATTTATGATGGTCGAACAGCGGAAAATGACACTACACCATTGGCTATTGTCGGTAGTTACAAAATTTCTGAAGTATTTCGTGATTGGTTTATTCGACAGAATTTGCCTTGGGATTTTGTTGAATTCGGTTATGGCAGTGATTATGCTCCATTTTTAATTCAAGGCATACCCGTTGGTGGCCTTTATTCCGGTTCCAGTGAAATTAAAACACAAGAGCAGTGTGATCGCTATGATCAATTTCTTGGACAAGGCAAATGCGGTATGATAAATGTCGATCATGATCCATGTTATCACAAGGCATGTGATTCAATTCAGAATATCAATGTATTTGGTTATGAGAAAATGATTCAAGCAGGTGCCTATACGATTGAAAGTCTTGCTCGGCAACCAGATTTAAAATCATGGTTATATTCATGAATAGAAATATTGCAGACATTAATTCTCAACGATAAGAACAACGACTCTATACTTTGATTGATGATTTCTTTAAAATATTTTAATGTCATTGTGTCATATGAGATAGGTGATGATGAAATAGATTCTGTGCAAAAGTAAATTTTACAAAAATTTTTTTAGTCTCAAATACTTCTACTTCATTGAAGTGTTTACTCGATCTCGAGTGATTCTTCTTGTTTTAACGGAAGAAAACGTTTTTTTTTTCAACTTCTATCAATTCGCGAGGATGTGAGTATGCGTCTTCTCTTCGCAAAGACTCACATCCTCAAGAAGGAAGAATATCCTCGCTTTTCAGCTACGTTGCAGTGTGGAGCACTGCTTATCAGCAGATTCAATAGCTCAGTATCTTCCCTACAAGTAGGATGTGGGTGTGATGTGTGGATGTATGTTGCTTTCATCTACATCCATACCCTCGAGTACCATACAATACGTGCTTTTGGTGTTGTACCATGCGATCATGTTCATATCAATACTCGAAGATCATTTTATTAGTCCGACAGAACTATTTTCGTGGAAAATACGGAACTATTATGTAATCAGCTCATTTTATAGTATCAGTGTGAGTGCTTTCTTCACCAATTTCCATACTCATAGTCACGCTAGGATTCCGGCAGAGATTTTGGACAGATTAATAATTCATTTTGAAATAGTAACTGTTCGTGAATAATCGAAAGTCTTGATGTGTTGAATTCGATTCTAACAAGCAAAAATTGCGAACATCAAATATTGTTTTTCTGGCTTGATAATACATTCTTATGTAACTATTCTATGATCTTATTTGTCCATCGTTGAGCAATGTGCACGCAAAATGTTTTTCTCATCCATAGCACAATTAGTTATCATCATCCATGTAGGTTTTGTATTGGACATGTGAAATTCTGTTGTATCGTTTATATTCCTGTTCGTTTTAATCGATGTAGAATTAAAGAAAGAACATTGAATATCCAGTACCATTAGAAACCAGAAGATAAACCATAAGAATTCAATAATGAGTATGACGATCGCTACTAATATCAACGATGGATGACTACGTAAAGAAGCACAGTCTGTTTGTAAGTGAGCTTCAGCAAATGAGATTAGCTTTCGAACACATACCAAATAAATTAATGTGATTAATAGAAAATCGACAGGTGTCAAGCATAATGACCAATATATAAAGAAAAGAAATATTCCCAAAAGAATTTGCATCATAATAATTATGGTAAATGAGCATTTGATAAGCTGACTGGCACATAATTTTAGAAGAGAAAAGATGATGAAGAAAGCTAATCCAATAGCAGTTGCTGCACCGATGAACCCATAAAGAGCAAGTTTGATGGCAAAGTCAGATAATGCTTGTTGTAGTTCATAAAATGCATTATTCTTGCTGTACGAACTTATAATTGGTATTCCTAATTTGAACCCATTAAAATTACCGGGAAATAACTTACTGGGGACTCTTTAGTTTCATCATTAACTCAGTAGTTTCTCTGCATTATTGGAAAAAGTTTCGTAAGCTCTGTTTAATTTACGTCACTTAAGTGAAATATCTTTGTTGTATTATAGATGATAGGAATAAAAGGCATGGTGCAGTCTCAGAAACAACCTAAGTATAGATCTAACTACATACATAGTTAAATTTTGCTCGTCACGTCTATGTAGATAAAAAAAGAAATTTAGAACAACGTATAATGTTAAGTTTCATTTGATAGAACATAGTTTGGTGAGCTACAATACATCCAGTCTGTTGCTGAGACTTCGATACGCTTTTTACTCATGCCATTGAGAACATTAAAAAAATGTATACAAATTAAGTGGTACAGTCTATTTTTATTTCAAGACTTTTGTACGGAA